TGGAGTTGGTCAAAGAGATCGTCGATGCGGGGTAGCGGATATTTATTCTTTATGGTCACCTTATTGAGCTCTCGATAGTCGATGCAAAGGCGGAAAGATCCGTCTTTCTTCTTAACGAATAGTACCGGGGCTCCCCATGGAGAGTGACTGGGGCGGATGTAACCCTTATCGAGTAATTCTTGAACTTGATTCTTCAATTCTTTGAGTTCCACAGGAGCCATGCGGTACGGAGCCTTCGAGATTGGTTCTGTTCCCGGAATAAGATGAATTTCGAATTCGATTTCGCGATCGGGCGGTAGCCCGGGTAGGTCATCGGGGAAGACGTCGGAGAATTCTTGGACAACGGAAAGTTCGGACATCACCGGTGGAGGTTTTGAGCTAGTCTCCAGAAGGTCGACTAGGTAGCCGATATGTCCCTTGTTGATGAGTTTGGTGGCTTTGATTGCGGATATTATGGGAATTAGAGTCTCGGCGTCGCTTTGAAATTCTAAGAGGGTGTGATTTGGGAGAGAAAAGCTTACGGTTTTTAAGGCGCAGTTGATTTGGGCTTTGAATTTGGTCAACCAATCCATTCCCATTATGAGGTCAAAATTTTCGATTGCTAAGATGATGAGATCGAACCCCATGGGTTGGGATTGAATTTGAATAGGGCAATCCTCCACTATTTTGTCGGTGATCATTTCTTCGCCCGAGGGCATAGAGATGCGATATTCGTGGCTTACTCGAGTTGGTACTAATCCCAGACGTACGCACACATTGGTGGAAATAAAGGAGTGTGTAGAACCAGAATCAATCAAAGCATACACGGGTTCTCCAAGAATAAGGACGGTACCTGCGATCATCGTCGGATCTTGACGAACTTGCTCTCGGGTCATGGCAAACGCGCGGCCGGGGACTCGAGTTTGAGCGCTGGGGCAGTCTCTCGCCTTATGGCCTGGCTTTTTGCATCGAAAACACAATTCGGTGTCCTTTACGCAGATTCCAAAGTGAGCCTTTCCGCAGTTCGAGCAAGTTGGCTTGGTCGTCGGTGTTACCGGTCTAGGGTTTGGACTCTGGACCTTCTTTCCTTTGAATTTATGATTCCCAAAGTTGGCCTTCTTCCATGGTCGTAGTGTGGGTGGTTGGGATCGCTTCCCTTGCTGAATTTCATTTTCGTCTTGAGCAGCCGTTAGTGCCTTGTCCACCATTTGGCGAAAGGTAGTGGCGTCGGACATGCGGATGTCCCTTCGAATTTCGGGTTGTAAACCCCTTGTGAAGTGATTTTTCTTTTCCTCAACGTCCTTGGCGATGAATGGGGCGTACAGGCATCCTCGCTCGAATAACCGAACGTATTCGGTCATGGTAAGATCCCCTTGGCGGAGCTCCAAGAATTCCTTGAGTTTGTTGGCCCGGACGTCCTTGGAAAAGTATTTCTCGAAGAACTGGACCTTGAATGCTTCCCATGACAAGTTCTCGAGTTCAACACCTTCCTTAGCTCCTTCCCACCAGTTCCGGGCTTCGTTGCGAAGAAGAAAGAGGGCACAGTGCACCCGTTCACGGTCATCCATTTGCATGTAATCAAAGATCACCTCCAAGGATTTGATCCACTCCTCGGCTACGACCGGGTCGGGATCACCGTGGAACTCAGAGGGCTTCATACGGAGGAAACGTTTGTATAGGCTTTGGGGGTTTGGCTGAGGCGTAGGTGGGGTGCGTTGGCTTTGAAGGAGTTGTTGGATCTGGTCATGATGATTTTGCGCTTGTTCGCGGATAAGGTTTGAGAGACCGAGAATAATGTTAGCGGTGTCCGGGAGATTATTGGCGGTGGCGGTGTTCCGAGATGGTCTTCCTGTCATGTCTTAGTGTGTGTGTTGCAAAAATAATTTTTAGAACAACAGAAAATAATATAAAACACAAGTAAGCATATAATTACCGGACAGACTGAGTCTTCTTGCTTCGAGGTTTCCGAATTCCGGTTCGATGCTCGTATAAAGTTTCTACAATTTTTGCTCTGATACCATGTCTGTGACACCCCCTAGTAATCGTATAGCAAACCGAGAGGGTTTGCCATGCACGGAAGCTTTAAAGGTATTATTTAAGTATTTGGGTATGTGGGTAGACTCCAAGGGGTTTAGTGAACCGATTACATATTATTATTATTATTATTATTATTATAATTTTTTTTTTTTCTTTGAGACATAGAATTTAAAGACGGAGTCGGCTTCGGAAGATATTTCGGCGAAGTGAATTAGTGGGAGGGTGGAGTATACGGCTAACTACCCAATAATTTCGTAATATCGACTTTTTAAGTGGTGTCACCTTGATAAAACATAGAAAAAGGTTAAAGTCCATAATTAAAACTACATATTAATAAGTGGGCCATAGTTTAACAAAAGGGACCCATATTCGGAGGACTTAGTCTCCTTTACCACGGATAATAATACACATGAGCTACTATAGAAACAGTAATTGTCCTAAGGACAATATACACAAAAGATAGCACTACAAGCAAAATAAGTAGATCCTCCATACGAACCAAAAACCCGGAGTCGGCCTCTCGAAACTTCGACTAGTCCAATCCGGTGGAGTGAGTAGTACTAGTACCTGCAAACGGAGAATATCTATATGAGCTAACAAAGCTCAGTAAGGTTATCGAAAGATACCGAGAATTTAAAATATAGTCATACTACATATACTATATAATAATATCACAAGTACAACAACATTTAACACAATTTACATGTCTAGGACATATAATTCATTAACTATAGAAACGTTTTTATCGGATCCGATGAGAAATCAACTTCTTTACTTAGAACATGAGAAGATTATTCTGAGCCCGTTTTGGTGGAATCAAACCACCCAACTGTAGTATCTATGGTTGGAATACCGGCCCCCCGTATCCTTTCTCATCTTTTCTAAGTATTTCATTAATCCCCCAATTTATTTTATTTAATTACAAAAAGGCACGGCCGAAGTATTTAGAATTTCGGTTGAGTACATAAAGGTATCAATATTCCACAATAACCCATAAGAAATATAAAAGCCACAAAACATCACAAATATCAATCAAGTGACAATTAAACACATATTTCACAAAAGATTAACCATTATCAAATTGTGTACTCACACATACTCACCCAAGAATATAACACAAACCTAATAAGGATCAACCTATCTTCTATCTTTCCTTAAGCTACTTAATTTCAATTAAATTCTAGGATCAAGGAACCATATTAGTTTTGGAGGTTTCGGGTATTCAGCACAACACCCCTGAACTTTTGAAAATTACAGTTCTGCCCCCAAAGTTCAAGACTCACACATGCAATATACTCTAAAGTTCAAAAATTCATACTTTCATGAAAATCGACCCTTAAATTAACTGAAATTCAGATTAATGCAGAAAACTCAGTTATAAGTGATTTGATGCAGAATTTCCGGAAATTACATAGTTCACCCTAGCTTCTCAAGATCTAGACATGCAAGACCTCTGAAATGCACAAATTCCATTTTCTAGTAAAACCCCTTTAAAACTGAATATTACCCTTTACTAGATGCTGGAAAACAGACCTGGAATTCTAATTGGAATCAATTTCTCGAAAATTACAGATTTACCCCAAAACTCTTTCAAATTACACATGCAACAACACTATGATTTCTAAATCCACTTTTTCATGAAAAATCCCCAAAAATCCGAAATCTTTATTCAAAATATGCAGAAAACGAAATTAAGATTTTAATTTATGCAACAACTTTGAAAATTCCATTTTCCACCCCAAAACTTTTAGATCCATACATGCAAGGCCACTAGGAGTTCAAAAATTACTTTTTTCTTAAATATTTTCCTAAACTGGAATTTCAGTTCAATAAATGCTAAAAACCATCTTTGAAAACTTATATGGATCTGACTTCTCACAAATTGCAGATCTGGCCCGAAAGTATGCCGATTTACACATGCAACCCCATAACTTTTCCCAATTTAATTTCTTCACAATTTTCGAAATAACTGAAACTTCTATGAAGGTAATCAACTCAAATCTACCATTTAAGACCTCTGATCATACATGCAATAACATAAATCATATGAACTAACAAAAAGAAACAAGTAAATGCAAGAATTAACACAAAAACAAGAATTAGGGGTGTCTTTTAATTAATTTCGAAATTTATTCTTGATACTTTGATACCTCCATTTGCAGCAAGGATTTCGATTCCTTACCTTAAAAACAGAAAGGAAATAAAAGGCTAGATGAAGAGGGGAAAGGTTCTTGGGAACCTTCAAAGAAAAACCGAAAGTTAGAAGGGGAAAAACGAAGAAGAAAGAAGAGGTGGAAGAACTTGGGATGGCAGCTTCTTACCTTCTTCAAGCTTGCAGATTTAGCCAAGCTACCTTAATGTGGAATGACACGGTGTAGATTTCAAGGTGAGAAGTGTTCTCATTCGTGAAGGGGCACCATGTATTTATAGTGTTCTTGGAGAATTCAAGGGCAAGGGTGAGATAGGGAATTCTCATTGTTGGTTTGAGAAGTATCTTGCTGATTTTGGGGGTGGTTCGAGCTTTGGTGGAGCTGCTATCAATGGTGGTTTCGGTGGTTTGAAAGAGGAAAGAACAATGAAGAAGGAGAGGGGTTTGGGTGCAGCCGAAATGAGGGGGAGAGAGGGACTCTTGACCTTCTAATTAAGCATGCTAGAGATGGAGTGTAGGATTGGGTTAATAGGGGTTAGGCTAGGCTTAGGATAATCATTTATTTATTTTCTAATTATTTAATAATCCACCCCTAATTATATACACATACACGGCACACACATATATATATTCATATATATTATATATTATGGTAATTTCTAATATGCATGCAAAATTTCCGAAACACATAGGCACATAAGGTCACATAATAAATTTGATATCTAATAATTCGGATATCAATAATTCACGTATAGCCCTATTTTTGGTAAAATTTAGTATTTACGTGACTAGAGGTTTTATTATCGTGTTTTGAACACGTGGGGTGTTACAAAATCGGTGGAAGAATAACCGAGCACCCGATGCGCAATGAATATTAGACATGGTTGTTTTTGTCTATCTACCGATGCCAAACAGTGCTCGATAAATTTGTATTGTTCAGTTCCTTTTCTCCAATCATGTTCCGTGTCCGCTATACAGAAACGGAACATTCCATAGTCGGTCGAGTACCTACCACAAGAATATAGCTCTCGTTTCAAATTCGGTTAAATAATTACTATAACTTATTCTAAAAAAACGGTTCGTCAACTAATTATAGACTAAATCAATTTGGATATTTTTTTTTGCAAAATTTCATCACAATACACAAAATTGATCCGAAACATAAAATATTCGACGTACCAGAATTTAGCTCGATTTTCAGCAGGAACAAAAAACATAGTTTCAGCCAAGACACCACATTCTCCACCCGAAACCATGTTCCCATAAAACGAACCCGTTCCAGGCCAGTCGCGCTTGTGGTTGCCACTGCAGATATCGTAACCAACCACAACAATATTACATGAAAAAAAAATAAGGTTAAATTACGTGCATTATCATATCAACCAATTAATTTTAATTCCCTAAAAAAAAAACTATAATCCACCTGGCAATCATGTACGGTACTCTCGAAGAAATTGGCTCAACTTGAGAAGTGAACTGATCCCACTGCGAAAGATATCCATTAGCATAACATATATCTCCGATATGAAATACTATATCGTAATTCTTCAAATCGTCAATGAGCTGTTTTGTAGTGTTGAGGGAGCCTCGTTGAAAATTATTATACTCGTTCGAACCATCGGCTTCATCCTGCAGTTATAAAGTGAAGCAAAAAAAGAAGAAAAAAACGAACACTTCTTAATCACGTGACATTAATGTAAATTAAATTATAATAATCGAGTCGAACCTTTCCCATGTCACCAAAAATGATAACTCGTTGCACAGAGTTCTGACCGGGATACGGAGATGCTTTGAACTGGTAATTACCACTCCAGATATACGTACCGTTGAGCAATTTATGCCCCAATTTATACATCCCTAATCTCGGAACTTGAAAAAAAATAGATTCAATACAAATAAAGTACATAGAGTAACAGAAAGAAGAGGTCATTAAGTTAATGAGAATTCCAGGTCTATAAATCCTGGCGCTTGAACAAGTTCGCCCTAATTTTTTTTTTCACCGGGACTAAGTACAATTTCTACAAACATCTCAATAGCAAAAGGGCATTAAATTCAAATAAGCAAAACAGATACGAAAACCTAAACGAACCAAAATAAATCGTAAGAAAAAAACAGAAATATACGATAGACATGTTTTATTCACCGCCTCATCAACACCACATAATTGATAAATATTGGGTTTTCTTCATCTGCTACATCTGCTACAGTTAACACTATATCTATCAATAATCTATCTATCTATTTCACAAGCACATACCTTTGAGTGCAGCAGCAAAATCTTTGTGCGCCTTTTCTAGAGGAATTTTAGCCTGTACATAACATAGCAAATAATGATGCACAAATTTATAGTCTCATTTAAACGGAAAATAGAGAAGCAGATATTTTTTAATCGAAGTATATAACAGTGATACAACATGATACACTTAAACCCAATAAAAAAAATTCAAAAGTATCAACCTGTACTAAATAAACAAGCATCATTTTTTGATATAGAAGAGAACATGGAATCATAGAGCATAGCTGAATTCTAATATGTTTTACCAGACTATGTAAAATGAGGTTAACTTATTAATATGATCAGCATACGAGACCCCACAAGCAGATCTGCAATGAAAGTGTTTACATTTATTAGTTGGAATGGCAGTCGAGAATCGTAGCATAAATTAAACAATCGATAGCAGACCTCATTTGATTAAAGGTAAAAAGAAAAATTGTGCAAAGGAAAAACAAACCATAAATTCAGCTACAGAGGTTTGCTTCACATTTGCTTGTTTGCCACACGCCTCAATTTTCTAAGTTGTAGTTGCCTCATCACTTTCACCTGCTTCAACAATGCATGGTCTTAAAATAAGAAAAAAATCACCAAAACAGAGCAAAACAAAAACAGAGGAGTCGAGGTAAACGAAATGTTGATTTATATGCCTATAGAAATCAATTAACCTAAGTTGTAACAGTTAAGTTGTGGAAACAGTATTCAGTTACAACTATAATTCTTGTGTTAACACAGTTATAAACTACTTAAAGCAAATAAACGAACACAAGGAATTAATGTGGTTCAGACACAAATGTGCCCTACATCCACGTGGACCTGCAAACACGATTTCACTAGTTCAGATTTACAGTGTACATTAATAGGACTTATTAAAAACACTAAAGACTCCCTCTTTATGTAATATGCCGTTCTTGTACACAACTCGAACTTCGTGTTTCTTCCAACAGCAGCTCCACCCGCGTGCCTTGAACTTTCTTCAAGCCTGAACTCCCTTCAGAAAACGCGGCTGATCTCCTTTGAGATCTATACAGCAAATCTGTATATGTTGGCACAGTGCAACGATGGCACAGTCCTGCTCCGCAGAACGCCTTGGCAAAACTTCGATGCTATGAAGAGGTTTTTCTCCCAAATAATGCCCACGGTTCTTGTATGTCTTGGAGGCTTATATAGCCACGAAAATAAGCCCTAAGACCTAACTTGAACCCCAAGAAATCTATTTAACTAGGTAATAGAATCCTAGTTGATTTCTACTTCTATTCTAGATAAGTACAAAACATACCTAACTAGAATAAAATACATGGAAATAAATCTAAGTCCTAATAGAAGTATTATAAGAATAGGACTCTAATAAATTCCAAAATAAATATGGAAAACAAATATTTGCCAATCTTTTAATTCCAAAACTTGGCGGATTTCCTCAATCTTCAATAACCGGAAATATGGCGCCAACAATCTCCCCCTTTGGCATAGATTGGTCAGAATCCATATTTAACAAGAACTCCCCCTGCATATGAGATTTTCTCTCTTTGCAGGAATGATTAACTCCCCCTGCATCACATACTGTTAGTACAACAGAAGTTGCAACACATAGATGTTGTAACAGAGAAATTTCCTGCAGCACAAAGTTATCCAAAACAAAGCCCAAGGCACAAAATAAAGATAACTAAGGTGATATCCAAAAGGCAGGAAAGTAATCATAACTATAACAGTCCTAAATAAGACATAAATTTAAGCAGTTCAAAAAGGACAACAAAAAGGTTTTTCAGAGAAACTTCCCTTAATAATCATAGTCGGAGAGCTGATCATTATCATGAGAACTGTTGGACGCTTTGCCTTGCGGTTGTGGACTGCTGCTTCATCATTGAAGTTTTTGCTGGGGCATGCGGAGTTGCATCTGGAGTTGTTGCTACTCCCCCTTTCTGGCCAGACTGTGCCAAAGTTTTAAGAAGCTGGTCCTGAATAGACGAAAATCCCTGAGCAAGCTGAGCCTGAATAGACTCCTAAAAACGAGTGAGCTCATCATTGGTGACCACATCAACTGGCAGCGGAATAGAGGCAGAGACAATGGGATCCTTTTTCGCGCGAGAGGCCGTCTGAACAACAGAGGGATCGATAGGAGGCAGATCAGCAAAATGTTCAGAAAGGACCTTACCTTGGATAGTGATTGGACGGCCAGGAGGATCCAACAGAGTGGCATCACGAGTGGGCAGGCCTTGTTTGATCAGAAGCTGATAGATCAGAGAAGGAAATGGCAGATGCTCACGCTCGGTGCTGGAATTGGCTAACAACCCAATCTGATTGAAAATCAAATCACCAATATTGATTTTATGGTCATGAGTGTCCATAGAACCAGATGTCATGGGCCCAGAAGCATTAAGTAAACTCTTCTTCGCCTTGAAAGCAACTAAGAAATGTTGTGACAGTGAGTGATAGGTCAACGAGGGAAAAGACAGACACTCCAACTTTTTGTGCGAGAGTTAGCAAGAGCTCCATTTTGAGCATAGATGTACTCCCCAATGTTGATAAATACAGCATGAGTGACGCTTCAGGGAAACTCAGCATACAGTGATCACAACGGTTGTGGTGTACTTGACACAAAGGGCTAAACAGTGATTTGATTCTTACACCGGTAAAATCTTTATTCAATTCAGGAGCCACATTGAAAAATTTCCCTTCGCAAGTAACCGCGAGTCCCATCAACGGAGAATCAACAGAGAGTTAGGACTCTGGTGAAGATTCTGATGACTCAGATCTAGTTGGATGTACGGCAGTAAAGGCAGCATAAGTCTGCTCTGAAAGAGATTGGTGGCCACTCGAAGCGTATGACTCATCCTCAAGACCATAATTGCTCTCAAGCTTCCTTTGAGGCCGGCGAAGCTGCACATGAGAGAGATGGGAACTACAGAGACCACTGTTGTCGTCACAGACTTTGACGTTTTTCCGGACTTCTTGTCGGACGGCGATGCACAGTTGTTTGTGCTTCCTCATTTCAGCCCCCTCGACCGATTTGTCTCTTTCCATAGTAAATCTGTGGAGCACAGAAAAGAGAAGAAACGAGTAGCTTTCGAAAAACATAGAGAGATAGAGTATAAGAAATATTGAGAAATCCTAGAAGCCCTAAAGATAGGATGATAACAGATTCCACAAACATCATGATCAAACAGAAGTATATTCTCACATGCTTCTTTAGAGATTCGAACAGATCACGTATCAAGACAGCCATGTGTCAACAGTCAGCCCGAGGCCACAATAAACTCAGAAACCCTAGAAGGAGCAGATATTTAAAGCACAGAGATCGAGAAAAGAGGCAGAAAAAGAGAGGACTATTCAAATACCGGATATTTTCAAATCAGAAGAAGATCCCACAATCTGTGACCAATAACAAACAAGATATTCTCCACACGAAACATCAAAAAATAGAGAAGGCAGATGACATGGCCATAGCCACGTGGCCAGAGACAACTAGTAGCAAAAAAATTCACAAAGCCCATATAAAAAATCAAGAAAAAATTTTAAAACGAAAAACATGAAAAAATCACATCTTTTAAGGAAAAGAAAATCATGAGGATCACAAGATTAAAAGTTGAGGGCTTGGTTTTCATGAATTAATTTGATAATCTTAAAGAAAATCACAATAGAAGGCCACCGAGCAAACTCTTGGATGCACGATATAACTATAACCCCATGACCATACTCAAGAAACCATAATTTAGGTAATTTTCTTAGGGTTATGAATGCGTATGCGATTAGCACAGCAATTCGATCGTGGACTTCAAGGAGAATTTCCTAATATATGCTTGAATATCATCCCAACTTTTCTCTCTCTCTTTTTTTTTTTTTTTTATTCAATTTGGACTAATCTCCTCCTCCCTTTTTTTTTTTCTTTTTCTTTTTTTTTTTTTTTTTTTTTTTTTTTTTTTGAATTCGAACCATTTTTCTTCTCCTCCTTTTTGTTGATATGATGTTCAAGCAAACATTAGGAGGGCAACCTCCTTAAGAATCCACATAACTTTTAAATAGAAGTCAGGGATGCATATGCGCGGTAGCATAATTCTCCCAATAGATGTATGATCTTTGAGATGAATGAGGTCATAGACATTGATCACTCCCGATAGAGGGGGCAGCACACTTCTATTATGGCTAACTGTGGAAACAAAAATTAATTCACAAAAACTAACACACAAACAATTAGTCAAAATGAACCTCCCATCATTCCTATTCCAAAAACAATGATGTCACATTTAGGTGACACATATAATGTCCGATTAAAAAATTCAAGTGCAATCCGGACACAAATATTAATTGCACTATCATAGAAAATTCAGTTTAGCACATGGCAAATTCCAAGCGCTTTACGCAAGGAATCAAACCTAAGGAAGTCGAGGGGCTTTGTGAAAATATCAGCTAATTGATTGTCTGTGGACACATAATCTATAGTCACACGTTTCTGCTCAACTAATTGTCTGATGAAATGAAGACGAATATCTATATGTTTTGTCCTAGAATGTTGAGCATGATTTTTTGAAATATTTATGGCACTCTCATTAT